CACCCAGGGACAGCGCTCAAAGGCCTTTCATTAGGGCGCCGGTGGCTGCCGCAGACCTTTTGGCAAATCTGCCGCTTGCCTAAGGCCACGATCAGTTAAAAATACGGCGGCACACCAATGGCGTGGTTTCCGCCACGTAACGGGCCACGCCGCTGCTCGGCGTCAAGCCACCTAGCCCTATCTATGCCGGCGCGTTCGCGACACAAGGGAGGGGGTTCCTGGTACCGTGCGACTCGTCGTAGCAACTTGTGTGTGGCCGGAACTCCCATCGTCCGATCCCAGCAACTCTAATCTGCGAACCCTAGATAGCTGCCATGGTGGATTGTCCATCTTAGACAACCCGCCCATGGAATTCCGTCCGCGGTGGTCGCCGTCTGCCCATGTCAGCGCCCAATCGGACAACCTGTGTCCTGCAGCAGACATCTCGGAAATCCACATGGTAAGCTGCCCCCCCCAACACCCACCCACAGCACACCCACACACCAATACACCCCATCACGCCCCAGCTCCTTCCCTCGCCCATCTATACACAATTCGAACAGAATTGTACGCACAGCACTAGCGTCCATCTCAACATTCTCTGCTTTGGGCCCGATTGAACTTTAGGGTGTTCTTTCCTCCTTCAAACTCGGGGCGTTACTGACCCTCGGCGGCAGCGAATCTGCCCCCTGACCTTTTGCGCGCTGCAGCCCAGTCGGATGCCCAGATCTTCAGAAGGACTTGGCACAGATGCACGTCGGCGCCGACGCTGTCCCAACAGTCCGAAACACAAAGTCAAGGTGACCGCAGCAGACAGGGCCTGTTGCGAAACGGTTCCCGCGGGAAAGCTTGCGCTCATTTTCTTGTAGCTCTGCCGGCTGCAGGCTCCTCGTTCCGGGGTTCTTGGTCGGTCCCCTCGCCCGTGCTGGTGCAGCGCTGCCTCGACCCTGGGTGCCGCGAGAACTGCACCCGCCTCGAACGGTCAACGGTCGTCCGGCCTGCGACACGAAGTCGGATCATTTGACTGCCATGACTGACGGTTGATTGGTCAAGCAGTGTCCTCGGTGATTTTAACCAGGGTGATGGAAACCGAGGGGGGCTTCATTGGGCCCCTTGCGCCAACGTTTCTTGCTTAGGCATTAAGCTCAGTGTGGCTTCTGACATTGCAATGCACACATCTTGAGAATCAATGGATTTCCGCACGAAAACGTTGGGGTGAACTGACACATGGCAGCCAGATAATCCACTCGGATGAGCTCACCGATTTCTTTCCTGGAAAGTTGATCCTACACGGATGCAGCCAGCTGCGATTTTGCAGCTACTCGTGCATCAAATACGTTCAAGCTCCAGTGGTGTTTATGGATCTGTTCTACCATCAACGTGATATCATGTGTTTTCTTCGTGATACAAGTTCCGCATGACCAGATGTGGCGTGCCAAAGTTCTGGCCAATCAATCGCATGGCCAGTCTTGGCCCGTTTTCTGCGCCTTTCTATCAAAGCGGAGAACATTATGCGGCTCTTTTTGTGGGTGATTGTATGTTACTGTGTGACATCGGAAATTGATGGACAGGTGCGTCATGCACGAGTAGGAATGTGGCCTCGACTGTGGCAGTGCGAACGCCCCACAGGTGGGATGTCCTGGTACAGGGAACCCTTGCTTGCAGCAAGATATTTCGGCCAATCATGTCTTCGACGGTGTTCCCGGCTCCACTCTGCAACCACCCAGTCTGCTCTCTTTCTTCAATGCGCCCTGATCCCAGCCGCTCATTGTCTGGGCGACTGAATGACAGGCAAAGCTGAGGCAAACATAAAGTGGTGAGTCCACACCCTCGGGCGTTGGCCCCCATCCATGGAGATCCTTCGGCCATAGGATGTGCGTCCTTTCGGGCGAGCATTGAGCATGGAATCTGCCGTGTCTGGGCAACGTCACATGATTGGTGCGGACGGTTGGCGCAGATGTTGTCGAACAATCCACGGCAGTCTAGAAGAGCAGTGTTGTGCAGAACTCAACGATCGCGCGGTTTTCTCTGCCCCCGTTTCACATTCTCTGGATGTATTCTTTCCTTCCTTTTTCATGCCTTCTTGCTGTCATGGGGCACTGCTGGCTCATGGAAGTGGAACGGAATCACGCAACAGCAACTGTGGCATTGTAATCATTGTGGTTTTGTTTCAGGTTACTTTGCCAGTGCTGGAGGCCATGGGAACGCCGTGGCATGGGCAGCCGCAGTCGATTGTCCGCACAATTGAAACTTGCCATCGGGGCACATCGACTGGTCAAGCAGGCAGCTAGCAGCTGCACCCTAACCGGGGACCGTCAGGTCGCGATGCCTACTTAACGAAGCGCGGTGCATGCGCTCTCGCCTTGACCAGTGGCACCACACTCTCCACACTGAGAACCCACGGCGTTAGCCTCTGCATCAGAAACCGAAGGAAGACCAGAACCTTGGGGATGCTTTCCCTTCGCGAGTACGGTCGGTCGATCACGATTCCGATTTCCTTGCACTTCAAACCTACAAAGTTACGGTTTTCTGTGGTAGTTTCAAGAGGACCAATCCGGCATGGGCCTCGAAACAGCTGCTGCCACTGTTTGAAGCCTACAGCGTTCCAAAACAGGTCAAGCCTTCGATTCCCCAGCTCGTGTGTCTACAATAACTTACACAGATGCTTGATCTGTTCGCACGCCGGCAGTCTGGCGGCCCCCACCCGGCAGACTCTACCAGGCGTGCCAGGAAATGCCATGCCGCTGCATGCTGGTCCTTGCCCACGCTTCCTTTCATTTCTGTTCACATCGTCGACATCTCCCAAAAACATGACACTGTGCTTCTGCAAGTCGCATTGCCATAACACACCAGTTGCCGTTGCTGGAAGCAACCCACAAGACCCCTTACGCAGTGGGCAAGCTTTCTTCCCGAAGGCAGGGTGCCGAATTGGCAATGCTGCAACAATTGCACAATGCAAGTCCCTCCCAGCGCCTCCTGCGCACACAAGGCGCCGAATCGACGTGGCGATATGGTGACAAAGGTGATAAACTCACCACACCGAAAACACCCGCTCCTGTCGCAGACCGCCTACAACTCCCTTACTCCACCAGCTGGCCCAAAAAAGCGGCTCAAAAATGTGGCGCACGCTACTGAGTCCGAGCAGAACACTGTACCAACCAAATGCACTGCTGACCCGCATTCCAAAACGCCAAATCTGCGGTGCATATGTCCAAAAGTGTGCTACGGATCAAGGCAGAGGCGCGAAACTGAGAATCAGATGGCCATCAAACGGCAACTCCATTCGTCCTGCCACGTTCACAGCCATCTGCTTCTTTCCACCCCTCCTTTTCTCCTTCCTCCCCCTCAACGCCATTGCCCTGCCCATCGTCTACGCCCATCGGTTCATCACGTTTCTCTTCCCCTTCCTCCCTCTCTTGTTCGTTCTGCTCCACCTGCCCTCGCACCTCGTCGACCATTTCCTGCTCCACCTTTTCGTCGCCTTCCTCCTCCTCTGCTTTTGTGGCTTCTTCATCTATGGTGAGGCAACGCCAAAACGTCAACCCAACAACCCAAATCGACATTTCCTCAAAAGAACTATGTACCTCTTCTACCTCAGGAAGGGGATGTCCATTGCATGACATGTTTCTCAAAGTTTCAACAGATGCTGTACATTTCTTGCCTGCTATGGTGAGAGACTATGTCGATATTGGTGTGCATCACATCAACTTCCTGCTAATGCCAGAAATCCCCCACTCCGACCACACACACACATTTGCTTGGGAGCTGGCACCCTCTGCATGACCAGTTCTCTTTCTCTTTGTAACAATCTTACAGCCCAATTCCACTCTCGTTCTTGTCAATCCTTATGTCGATGTCAGCATGACTCAGCAACAATTCCTAATAAATCGATGCAACATCAATGTGTCCGGAAGAAGGGCAAAGAGCGTGAGTTGTAGCGACTGTAGAGGGTTGACATATGAGATGTTGGAAGCTATGATAGGTGGCTGCAGCATCACTGAAAGCTTTCAACTGGGGCATTTTGCAGGTTGTCATAATGGCTGAATGCTTGGGGGAGGCTTTGGGACAATATGTGATTGCTTGGCACTGATCAACAATGTGTTGGGTCCATTCTCAGTGCATGCTGGCTTTGTGGCATTTAATAATCTCCCAGAATCATGGGTCAGGACCCATCTCTTAGCATCAAATTCATGTCACAAGTGCACCAAATTGACATTGTGCCTTCCCAAAAGTATGTGTAACTGCTGAGTCCCCAGCACGTCTGAACAGAACATGCCATGCAATGCAATGCTCCGGCACCTTCAGGCTCTGCATGTTCCCGTGCGTATTGGTCCGCCACCTCCCTGATCATGGGCTTCCATGGTTTGACGTCCTGCCCCAGAGCTTCAGTGAGCAAAGTCATCACCTGCAGCGCAAATGCAATTGCATATGCTTTTGTGTGTGCGGCGATGGGCAGTTCACGGACATTGCATTCGCAGTCAGGGGACCGGGGTGTTCTTTTGATGACAAAATGTCAGGCCCTTAGTAGAGACACATTGAATGATAAGCGTATTGCATTTCAAGCTGTGTGCAAAGATCCATTCACTCACTCTTTGGCCCTGTCTCCAAACATGGAAAAAATAATATCCATTCTTGCTAAACAAGGGCGATGCAGTCACAAGCACCTCAGCATGCAGTCGTTGGTGATTCATTGAATCTCTCTTCTGACCATGCTCTCCAGCAACTTGTAGAAACAATGCCCAGCCTTCTGGACAAAGGCTAATGCAGCCATACACAGTCTGATGAAAAATCATGATTATATTATGGGATATTGACTCATATCCTTTGTTGACCGATTTCAAGAAATGGCAACACTCCCAGGAGTGAAGTGCACTGGTGCTTCAGGGCAACACTGATAGGTGTATTCAACACATGCCTTTCCAGATCGGCTCCTAAGAGACCAGGCGCTGCTGCTCTTCTCCCCAACAGACAAAGCCCCAATTTTCATGCTTGGCTTCAAATTCCACATTGCATGCAATGTTTCAAGCAGCATCCCTCACTGCCCCGATTCCAACCTTTTTTAGAGACAGGTCGTTCAAATCGGCAGCCTTCAGCATCTTCATCAACTCGTTCCTCACAACTTCTTCAGTCAACTCATTGGCTTGTGCAGAATCTGCTGCAGCCCCTTCTGCGTCATCCATAGCTTCTTCATGGTCTTCTGGCACAGTCTTTGCTTTCTGTTGGGCAACATCGCACACGTCTCATTTCATTCCCTGATCCTTGCCTTTGAGAAAATACACATTTTACTTCCACAATTGAACTGTATTGATTTCTGATGCTTGCTTATCAGTGGCTCATAACCAGCTCATCATATTCTCTTCAGCCATTACTTGAACTTACTGCAAGTTCGAAGTGCACCACAAGGCAGATAGTGTCAATGTCTGTGATGTATATTCACCACATTGCCTCAGCACCTGGTTCAAGCTGATTCCATGCTAGAACGGACAAGGACACTGTTTCCTGGGGTCTTGGGCCCTGGGGTGGGACTGGGCCTGGGGTCTTCCCCACGTTTCGTCTCGGTGCAAGACCAAGTCTTAGTCCTTGGTAGTCGGTGCAACAACTTGTACTTGCTTGCCAATACTTGATCTTGATACTCCTGTTTCCACACTGCCAGTGCTTGGTGTGCGCAAGCCAGCACATTACCAGAGTATGCAAGAGCATTCCACGGTAGTATATTATTTTATGTGCCTGACCTTTGGTGGCCGGCCCCTTGGCTTGGACTCTTCTCCATGTTTCCTCTTCTGGGCCTTGGGGCCCTTGTCCTTCCCTGCTGCCACCTTTGCCTTCTTCTTCTTTGCGCTCTCCTGCTTCTTTTTCATCCTTTCTTTTCTCTTTGCTTCCTAAAATAGCAACATCAATTGTCTGGATGAATACAATTATCCGCAAACAACCAGATGTGCCCTTGCACCCTTTGGTCCTGGTTGAAAGTTGCTCTCATCTGCAAGTGGTTGTTTCGCTACCAAGAATCTCCAACAATGCCTCCCTGACAGCCTGGGACAATTGGAGATTTACGGCATGTCTGCATGGAGTGCAGATTTGATAGTGTTGCTTTTGCTTTATCCTTTTGGTGCAAATCTGTACATCGCACTTGGAAGTCTGAGGTACAGAAATTATCAGGCGCCATCAAAGTACATGTGTGATTCCCGCCAAGTTTCTTAGAGCTATTCAAGAGAAAGAGATTCAAGAAATGTTTATTCTTTATTCTTTATGTGGCAGTTACACAAGAAATTCTGCAGTTCTCACTGAAATTCAATCCGAATTAATGTTGTTCCACCCTACACCAACCATGAACATCATCACTGGCACAGGCATCTCATATATCACCCTGCTCTGTATTGTCTGTCTAATTATTCCTTTGCAGCACATGTATCAACGCACGTACCAGAGAGCAGGACGTCCCCAACCCCACTGCAGCGGTTCCCACGCTTCAACACAAATCAACTGAAAGACACAATTTTGGCTTCCCTCCCCAAACATGGGCCACACCAGACAAAGCTAGGCTGCCACACAAAAATTGGCAAATGATGGCGGAAGATTCAGCAGGCCTACAAATCACCCAGATCCCTCAAATCAACAGTGCATGAACCGCACAAGGTTGCGATACCCAATAGAAAAGGAGGAGTTTCACTTTGATCCAAACAGAAGCACACCATCTCTGCCTTGTTCTTGGTGCCCAGGATCTTCGGCTTCATGAGGAACTCAACAGCGCGCTCAACCTTGTATGCCTGCATCGATGCAACAAAACTCACTGAATGCACATGTCTTGCTGCTTTATACCACATTTCTTACTGTGCTTTTCTTCTTTTGATATTCAGGCGCGCAATGAAGGGCCGAAGTGCAAGTGCCCATTGTGCCACCTGTCTTTGCAACTCATCCACCAAAAAATCAGGACAGCTTTTCTAGCAATAGCCACACCTTTTGTCCTGCCTCTCCGCTCCCCCTTGGCAGATCAAAGCAGTCCAGCAGCTTATTCAACAGGCCCATGTGCCACTTGCCAAGCTTGTCCTCCGCCTTGGCCATTTCGGACGCCTGAGGACAACCGAAACACAAAGTAGTGGGTACAAGGGCAACTGCACAGAAAGCTGTTATTGCCACAGCACAACTTCTCCATCAGCTGTCCGATAGCAGTTTTGAGGGCACAGAAAATGGGGGTTTCAATTTGGCTTTGCCTTAACTGGGCTGGTGTTCATTGTATTCTACACGGACACCTCAATCACCTTTAGACAACTTTATGATGGTGTTTCTCGATGTGGTCTAGACTGTCTGTGCACCTGCTGGACAGACAGCACGCTGGCAGCTGCTTTATGATTTTGGCTGGGGCCTGCTATATTCAGCACACTGCTAATGCCAATCCACGCAGATTGACAACGAGTCCAACGCATTAGCACGATACGATGTGTGTTCATACATCATCAGCCCCAAAGATCTATGGAGTGCCAGACTTCTCTCCTTGAAGGTTCTTGTCTTCTCCATAACATTGATACCAACTTCACCCACTATATCATCTTGCAGTATCTTGCAAGGCTGGCACGATGTTGCTCACATCTCTTTCATCCAAATTGGTTCTGTACCTCTGACTTTGAAGCGACTCAAAATGCACATAAGACAAGCTGTGTCAATTCGTGTCATGACATTGTCCCGAGTTGTTGCACCATATGCTACAAACAACAACTGCATAGCTTGGGCAGCCAGCAGGCATACCATCCTGTCATTGCCAGGCAGGAGGACTGAGTGTGAAGCCATGAACCATCAAGGGACAATCAAACAACATGCACGTACCTATGACATTCGTCACCCCCAAGCTGAAGTGAGACCATTTTGCCACAAAAAGCGATAGCAATGCAAATACATTTGCAAACATTGACTCTTTCAGTGAGCAGATATTCTTGTTTGGTCTACGAGCAGATGGAGTGAGGTGGAATCTGAGCCATCTGTAGCCTTGTAAGTGCATATGCAGTCAACCAAACCACACTGTTCCTGCTGCATCAAGCTCTGTAACACGTGAATCTCATAAGTCTTCACTTTAGTAGGGAACGAGCCATTGTCTGCAGTGGCGCCATTTGCCAGCAAAGACACTCTTCGCATTACCTTAGCTTCCTCATCTGCATATGGGAAGCCAGAAAAGTCCAAGATGTCCCTTTTTCGCTTGAATGCCTGCACCACATGCCAACCCCTGCTCAGGACTCGTCTCTGACAATCAATCAATTGAACAACACAGCCCTGTTAACACTCCTTTGTGTGGTGCTTCAACAAGGTCAGCATCTGTTCCACTTGGTTTCACAACCTCATTGCAGGGCGAAGGTGACTGGGTGGTTTGGAAGCTTTTGGGCTTGCTTGCAATCAGGAGCAAGGCTACATTACACACGTCCAGTGCATGGCTTTGCCCACATATATCGTGGTGCGCCAGGTGCAGCTTGCAGTTCTTTGGGCACCACTCTGGAGGCTATTGCTTTGCTCACTACATGTCTGTGGCAGATGGACAGCACTAGGGTGCAGACTTCTTTGGGCAGGTGTTGATATGGGGTGGAGGCACAACGCTTTCCAATGGCCCCCAAGCAGTTGACAAGGGACCCAACCAATAGACTGCACATCTGCTCATCGGACGCAGCCACAACACTCCATACAAGCTCATTCGCAACAACAACATCACTACCCTTCCACTGTCCATACTCCCTTAGGGCTTGCCCTGCAGTTCCTCCTCTAATCCCAACAGCACCACATGGCATATCCACTCCGCAGCCCACACACACCCATTCACACCCAATTCAGGGGATGGTTTTCAGTTCACGGTGTCTTTCTGGAGACCTGCTAACATGAGCCCCCAATGAGGAGACACAAGATTGCGAAAACTTATTATCTGCACAGAAAGTGATGAACACAAAACCCACATTCCCAACGCCAGCCACAAGTTAGGGCGATTCAATGGCGACGGCGAATGCAGTCACAGCGCTTACGCCGGCCAGCGATGGAAACCACCTGTCGGGAACTGACTAGGCCTCAGCAGCAGTCGTCCCCACCCAGCACAAGAACCCGTGCCTCCCTTTTTAGATTCCACAACATTACATCACAATCCAGCGTCCAGGGTGCCTCCCCTGTCCTATCACAGACACCTGTGCCACCTAGCAAGAGAGACAAGGCGATCTGAACCCCTGCCCCCCCTTGCCAGAATCCCCATGCCAGGATCCCCATGCCGAAATCGTTGGCTTGGGAGTCCGAAAGAGCCCCATCCTCACCGTTCCCTGCCTCTTGTACATCAGGGTGTGCATCGCCGTCAGCAGCTCGTCGTCCGCCCTCAGCTTGGAGATTTTGAATATCGCTGCGTGGGGGAGGCGGGCAGTCGCGTTAGGAGCGGACGGCTGAACGACGGATTGGAGGATGTCGCCGGGGACTCAAACGGTCGCGCCGGGTGTGGCTGGGCCTGACTCACCGTTGGGAATGTCCCTGAGTTTCGAGCCCTTGCCCTGCGGAGCAGCGGGAGGGGGGGCCCGCCAGGGGTCAGCAGACGTCTGGGAAGGCAAAAAATGAGAAGGACTGGAAAATGGGGATCGATGGGTCCAGATCCGCGGCGTGGGCGTGTTGTGGATGGCAGTGTTTGGCGGCGGCCCGTGGAGAGTGCGGCTCTCCACGGCGGTCAGTCTATGGCGCCGGGGAGTGCCGGCGTGCGGAGATTTATGGCTCCTTTTGGGCAAACTGGGAGAAGTGCCAGGCCTGGCGCAGCCCGCAGGGCAGGAATCTTGCCAGGCGCTTTTGTGTTAACGGCAGACGATTCGAAACGCGTCTCCGAGTGCAGCGGCAACGGCGGGCAGCCAACGACGGGGGCGTCGCTGGCATTGGTGCCAGTCCCTGCCACAGAGTGAAGGCCGAAAAACTTTCTTTCTGATACCAGGGGACTGTGGCACACAACCCTCCTGGGCGAGAATAGCCAGAAGCCCATCTCGCACAACACAAAACAAGCCCCACGATCCTCTGCGCAGCGCAAAGGCAGCGGCGACGCCCTGTGCCCAAATTCTCCCGCAAAACGGCAAAGAAACAGAGAGTAGGAAGCCGAAAAATGCCTCCGAAATCGCCCCAGCCCTCGTGGGAGGCCCACAGCGCCCCCCCACCTGGTCGATCTTCAGCGGCGTCTTGGCCTTCTCCTCCGGCTTGTAGAATTCCGTCTTGCTCCTTCGCCGCGCCTTAGGGCTCTGCGGCAGCAGCCCGCCTGGACCGCGGGATGCGTCCTCGGCCCCCGTCGACGGGACCTCGGCCGCCTCGGCTGCGGCTGGCGGCTCCTGATGCGCATCTGTCGCCATTTGCGCTGCGCAGCGCCGCAGGGGGGCTGGGCGTTCGGGTCGCCACGCCGGAGGGCGGGGGTTCTGTCAGGGCAGGGGCAGAGTGGGGGGGAAATATGGTTGGGGGGTGGGAGGGGGTGTTCGTACATTGGGGGGAAGTGAGCCGTATTGCTGGCGTATCGCGTGACCGTATTGTGTTGTACGGTGTGCCGACCAGCGTCCTTGGCATGTGTCCGAATTGACACTTTTTGTCCGAATTAGGTTTCCAATGACCGGCTGGAAGACCCCGACTTGGACAATTTGTCTAGCAGAAAACCGCAAAGTGGCCCCAATTCGGACACGCGCCAGCCGACGACTTCGCCTTTGGCCTTGAGTTCCAAACTGCTCTGAGCGGTACAGTTGGATGGCGGGGGCCAATCGGCGCGATTTTGTAAGCTCAGTCGTGATGGCGGTGCGCTAGTTGCGTTGGACGATGCAATTGGCACCGTGGTGGTACGTTCACCAGACTTTGGCCGAAAGCACCTAAATTTGGACACAGGGTCTGGCAAAATTTTGAAAAAGCAGCCTCAATTCGGACATTTCCGGCGAGGCTGAATAGAAAGCAAACACTGGTGCCAGTGGTTCGTTGGGGGGCCGCGGTAACCCTTGCTTAACTTTATTTGTGTGAGGGCGAGGTATATATGGCGGATAATTATAACGTGAATGTATAAGGTGAATGGTGTTATACATGGCGTGGTTACGCATTGTGAGCACGGTGATAAAGAAGCGTGGTGAACATGGGAACGGTGGTTACCAAATGGGGACATTTCCTGCGAACACTATTTAGTTGTCTTGTAATGCATCTGCTTGCGGCCTCGCTTTCCGTGCCTGAGGAGCGACCGTGTGTGAGCATGCACGAGAGTGTTCGATCAGCCTATCAAATTTTTACAAATAATTGTAGTAAATACAAAGAGAGAAAGAAACGGGTCATAAAAAGGGCACCCACTCCTAAACAGGTGTGCGAGACTCTTCTGCCATGCTGTGAGAAGATGATACAGAGACTCCGATGCGAAATGATGAGCACATAACACAAGAAATATAGAGGACAAGAAACGTGCAGCCAAAGGGCCGGGGACCCCGTCCCGGGGTGGGGTGGAGCGTGGCATGTGATGCGCAAGTCCCCTATAGGCAATATCCGTGTCGATGGTCTTTTCCAATGTAAGATCCATGGCGATATTCTTTTCCATGACCCTTTTTTCCCACTCCGTGCCTTCTTTTGTCCCTTTTCTGTCCATCTGTATGAAATCCATGGCGACATTCTTTTCCACTCCACTGCTCCCTGCAGTCACAAGACCCATTGAACAACAGCCCTTTTTTCAGTTTTCTTGGTCAATGTGTCGCTGAGGGGTTTCCCAGATCCGTGACATTACTATTGTCACGGACCCGGAGCCCCACGCGTCAACAGGACATTTATAGTACCAAAATTGGCGCAGTGCTGGCGTGGTCCACAAGAAGTAACAAAATGTGACATTTGCACCGGGGACGGCAATGACACTTGTGGTGATGTGTGCTTGTGCAAGCGGCACATCACCCCACACACATGGCAATGACAGCTCTGTGGACACGAGCAAGTGTCGGGAACATCACATTATGCTTGCATTCATTGCCCGACATCGCCGGCCTGGCCGAAGGGCTCCGTCATGTTGTGACGAGCACGTAACCAATGTAATCGAACACGTAACAAGGGCGCCGTCACTAGGCCACTGCCAGTGTCCACCCGCCGCCGACCGTCCGTCCGTCGTAGGATCGCACACGCTGCCGCGAACGCTCACCGCCGGCCCCGTCCGACCCTCCTACACTCGTCGGCCAGCTGTCCACAGCCAGTCACCACTTCCCGAACAACCAGCCACCCCACCCACTCCCCTGACCCCTCCAGTACATCGCGCCTGTGCCCAGCGTCCCTATGACGCGCACGAGTCCCTCCAACACTTCTCCAATTGCCATTCAAGCCAGCGCTGACCATAGGCAGGCGACCACCAACCCGCACAATACTCTCGCACACGTGGCCCCACCGCTTCCTCGCCAATACGCCAACGACCCCGGCAGCCATCCAGTGTTTCTTTCCTGCACTCGGACCCTGCTTGCAGGTCGCGGAGACGCACAACGTTGGCGCGCTGTCAAAGACCATCAGTCTCTGTGCATCCGAAGTCCAAAACTGTGGGGCTCAGAGGCTCAAGCAATGGAGGAGGTCGACGCCAAACTTGCGCCGAAGCGCGTTTCTGCAGAAATCGTTGTAGAGGTGAGCAGAGATAGGATCGGCGGTGATCAGCTGCGAGCAGGAGGTGGATGCGCAGCCCGTGGGCGCCGAGGGGCTGGACGGATTTGTTCTGGGTGCCAGCGCAAGCGCTGATTGTCAAATCCCCGTGCGTGCAAGCTTGATTGGGGACGGCGGGGCTTAAGCCATGCGGGCTTGGAGGGGACTTGATCCTTGGCGAACGCGGGCTGGAGACGCGCGCGAAGAAGGCTTGAGGTTTGGCCTAAAGATCCAGGGAGCTTGCGCGGGTCCGATCGACCAATTTTTTGCGCGTGCGGCCTGATTGCTGGCTACGGGGCTCTTGGCGCAAGCTGGCCGATGTTGGCGACGCGGCGCAGTGCGGGTGGGGCGGACGGGGGTATCGCGCAGTCGAGATTCCAGGGGTGCAGGGACGCGATCGGAGCGTCTGTTGAATCTGATGAAACGGGTCAGCTGGCGTTGGGCGCTTCCTGTTGAGCAAGAGCGCTGCCAGCGTGGAGGCCATGAAAGGCACGGCGGTCTGCGTAGACCTTCACCTGCAGCCGAAGGAAGCCGGTGTCCTTGGGCGGAAATACGCGACGCTTGTTTTCCGGAGGGAATGAGTTGGGCGCCGCCTTCTTGGAGGGGTGGGGCGCGCGGAACGAGCAACGGGGTCGACCGATGGTCCTGCCGTTCCGTGGGGCGTTCCTTGCGACGCTCCCGTCGATGGCTCAGCCCACCCGCAACTAGACAAGCCGAATGCAAAGCGTACCGGGTCACAGGTCCCCCCGCCCCCACAGCTGCTTGACCGATGCTTTCGAATGCGTTCCTTCTTCCATTTTTCCTGCGCCTCCTGCCCTCTGGGATCAAGCCCGTGACCCTTCGGATTCAATACCGCCCGGCCCCCGCACGGCGTCCATTCCATCGGGAACCCTGGTCGTCGATCCCTCATTGTCCCCCTCGGTGGTGAGGTGAGGCCCAAGGAGCGAGGGTCTCGCTACTGCCCACGCTTGCCTCCAGCGATCTGACTGCACTTCCGCTGAGTCAAGACCCAGTCCGGTCGTGATCCCTCTGCGTCGAGTGCCCACCTGACTCCCGACACCGCCGTTCGCGGTGCTCTGCCGGGCTGCCTAGCCCGCCTGTCCTGGCACACGCACGCGGAGGCCTCGAGCTGCACAGCCCATCGCATCCACATCATCCGCCATCCATTTTGCTGACAGCTTGCTGACAAAGTCATGTAGTAGTCATTGCGACCTGAACCCAGAACATAAGTGGCACAGGGACTGGACTGCAATTGTTATTGTAATTGTACCTGTTGCACCCACCAGGGACTTGGCAGCAGCGAATCAGATCAATCAAAGCCCATAGTTGTAGTAAAAGTACTCAGTCAATCGCCGGCTGATCGATCCCAACGCCTCTAGTGCAAACACTAGACACCGCCATTGGATAGCACAACCCATCCATTGTGTACCTCCACATCTTTGCAACGCGCCAAATGCTATTGGCTGCACCAAATTTCACTCAATCAATTGCAAGAGGGTGATTGCGTTTGCTAGCGAAGCAAGCGGAACTTGTTATTTATATTATCTTCCATGTTTGAAATTCTGGCTGGGCGGTGTGGGGGGGTGGCTGGTCAGCTCTCCCTTTTGTTGGCGAAGCTGTTCGCTGGAGTCCTGGAGGGGTAGCCAAATCTCATGGAGGACGTATTGGTACCAGTGTTGAGAATATTGCAGTGGAATTTGAA